CCCCGCGCTGAGCCCGGCCAGGGGCTGCGCCTAGGGATTGGGCCTGCCCTCTGCCACCCAGGACCAGGCCTAAGCCAGCAGGCTGTTCAATCATCTCCCGAGGGGTCCCAGACTGCGAAAGGACACAGGCCGGGCTGAGGGACACCCCCCCGAGTGCACAAATTTTTGTGCACTGGGCCTCTAGTCTATATATATAAAAACATAAAAGACTGGACAACAGAATGACTGGGTGCTATGACATACACTGACCACCAGGGGGCAGATGCTCAACGCAGGAGCTGTCCCCAGCCCACAGGCCCCCATTGCCTGATCAGGGCCTGCCAGCCAACCTCTCAGTCCCTCCCCCGGCAAAACAGGCTCTGATCGCCATATAGGGAACAGGGACCTTGGGGGAGGGGGGGAGAGTGGCGGTGGATGTGGTTGGTGCCAGACCAAGGTGGGTGAGAGCAAGTGGGACCCCGATCACCCTGCTAGTCGCCCCACACACAGAGGGCAACCTGCAATAGTGGCAGGGGGTGGGGCTGGCTGCTGGCAGCTGGGGAAGATGGGCCCTGATCGCAGGCCAAGCCTACGAAGCCTACCCGTGCACAAATTTCGTGCACCGGGCCTCTAGTATACCATAATTCTTTTCAAAGTAAAAACATATATTACTCTACAGATGATTTGCACTATAGAACATCCACTCAAAATAAATTTAAAATTATTAAATTAAAATTGTAGAGTCTCATTTTGTATTCCCATACCCCAACTGATATTACATAGCCTACTTTTTGAAACCACAGCTATAGATATGGACAAATCAGCATAAAGAACAGTACAACTGTATACAATCTCCATTGATCCAAAGGCTTCAATTTTCTTAATGTAGGAAACTATATTATATTCGCTTTTTTCCTTTTTTTTTTAGAGCTGTGCCTTTAGATTGGTTCAGGTACTTTCTCCATATGAAACAAAATCACAAACCTGACTTCCCACTGTGTTGTACTGGTGTAATTGATTTTTTTAAAACACGTCAAGCAGGTTTAACCTATAACTCTAATTTTAATATTTTTAAGGTTTGCCTCTATATCTAGAGTATGTATAGTCTACTACATTTTTGAATCCTGATTTTGTCACATATTAGCTATCCTCCCACTTTAGAATATCTAAAAATTTGGTTTTCGAGTCTTTTAAAAAATTCTGAATGGGCTAGTCAACATTTACTAAGTCATGCTACTAAAAAATCTTCCTCCCCTTTAAAGTGATCCACTTATCAACATATATTTTAATTTACTGTAGATGAAGATTTTAACTATTAATACTCATAATGATTAAAAATGATGAATAGAAATTGTGGGGTATTTTATCATGTTAAAATACATATAGCTTAGTCCTAAAACCATTCTCCTACTAGGGAAACACCAGGACATTTCCATTAAGATCAGAAACAAGGCAAAAACACCTATCTCTGTTTCTATTCACACTGTACTGGATTATTAACCAATACAATTAGAAAAGAAAAACCATTAGAAGCACAAAAATATGTGAAAAAACAGGCAAAAGTTGAATAAGGCCTACAAATTAGTGAACAGTTTTGTATTGATGTTCATTTCCTGGTTTCAATCACTGCCCTGTGATGGTTTAAGATGTCAACATTACGGGATTTGGGTGATGAGCCCACAGCAGGTCTTCTCTGCCTCAGCACTCCTGGCTTTTGGGGCCAGATAGTCTGTGCTGTGGGAGACTTTCCTGTGCATTTACAGGATCTTTAGCAGCATAGTTGGCCTCTCCCAATAAGATGCCAGCAGCAACTCCCCCAACCTCCCTGCCCCCAACTCAAGTTGTGACAACCAACTGTGCTGGCCTACCTCTTTGTGTTCATTGATGCCTTCATCATCCATTTATTATTGAGAGGGTCAAACATCTCCATGCTACCTAAATGCTCATTTCCATCATGTCCACCCACAGCATACACTTTACCTGCCAGACAGAGAAGTATTTTCATTTGATTCCAAATAAACTGACAGTTATTTACATGTATATAATCAACATATAATAGAAGAGAATAATTTTCCACAAGTATTCTTCTGTTCAACATTATGATCAATGTCACTTTTGTAGTTAAATGGAAATAAATGTGAGCTTCTACTTAACAAAATGCCTGGAATGTGCTGTTCCACATGACGTTATTTAAATGCTCAAACACTATCCCTCAGGTTTCCCAACTTTTTATTATTTAGTAGATGAAATCATGCTTTTAAAGAATGTTTCATAAAGTGAAAAAATGCTCTTATGTTACATAAAAATATAGAACAATATGATCAAACTTTTTCTAAATGAAATAAAAGTACACAAAAAATTGGAAAGATTATATATCAAAATGTTAACTGTGATAGTTTTGGGGTGTTTGTGTTACAGATGATTCTTATTAAAATGTTTTCATATTTTCTTTTTTTTCCATTGAAAATCTCAAGCATCTTTCCTTGAGATTTTATTTTATTTTATTTTATTTATTGTTTTATTGCTTTAAGTATTACAAAGAGTATTACATATGTCTCCTTTTTTCTCCGCCCTTGACAATCCTCTGGCCTCCCTACCCCCGTTTTCATATTTTCTAAAAAAAATTTACACGCTTATAATGAGAATAAAAGTGATTTTTAAAAAATCTAACAATTTATCCATGGTTTTCTACAATTAATCATTTTCAGTAACCAGTAAAAAAAATCTAATTTCAATAATAATTAGATGGGTATAGAAAAAAGCTGGTATGTGTTTATTATTTGGGTTCAAGAAACATTTTTCTTTAGTTTGATTCTTTTGCAAATATAATTCACAATAGTTTATTTTAACCCCCTTTCTCCTGGATACTCATCTCCTGTAAGGCAACTATAATGCAAGAGATTGTACACTGAGCATCAATGGGCATAAAGCAAGTAAATACCACCAAAATATATTAAAACATATTTTATCATTTAGAAATTTTCTTAAAGAAAGAATTATCAAAGTTCAAATAGTTTAAAAGAGCATTTATGATCATGTGATGTGACTTAAGACAAGAATGAACCCACCTTCTACAGAGATTACACCCACGTGTCGCCTTCTACTATTCATTTCTGGTCCAAAGAACCAACTGTTTTTGTTGATAGAATAGCATTCAATACTGCGAAAAGGGTCACCAGATCCACCTCGACCACCCACACAAAACAGCACACCTAAAGGTAAAGCCACAAAATAGAAGTCAAAATCACAGTTCCCTCATTTTTAAGAAATTAGTATGGAAAAAAATATTTAGGAAGTCAAAATTTTGATTACTGGCAAAGAAAGTGGGTAGCATTCAATGTTACTATGTTACTAGAAATCTAATTTTCTTTTTTGTTTTTCCTCATTTGAATTTCTCAAAGAATAGGATACATTAGCCACCTCCACTTCCCAACATCCCATTACAATATGGTTTAGATCAGTGATGGCGAACCTTTTGAGCTCGGCATGTCAGCATTTTGAAAAACCCTACCTTAACTCTGGTGCCGTGTCACATATAGAAATTTTTTGATATTTGCAACCATAGTAAAACAAAGACTTATATTTTTGATACTTATTTTATATATTTAAATGCCATTTAACGAAGAAAAATCAACCAAAAAAATGAGTTCGCGTGTCACCTCTGACATGCGTGTCATAGGTTCGCCATCACTGGTTTAGATCCTCACCCACTATGTAAAATTGCTCTTGCTAAGGTCCTAACAAGATCCAGTGAACTCTTGTTAATTTCTTACTGAACACAACTGCAACACCGATCACTCTGTTTTTTTGAGAAACTCCTTAACTCTCTTAGTTTCCCTAATATCAAAGTCTCCTTTTGTGTCTAATCATTTCTTTCCTATGTTTTCCATATTTTATCCTTAGCCTACTTGTCACATACAAGTAGGTCATGCTCACGCATAAAGTGTATTCCTCTATTTTAAATTCCATCTGTATGATAATGCCTTCCAATCTATATTTCTAAGCCATATTTCCACTTGATGTCCTATGGCACCCAAACCCAACATGTTCAAAAGGATCTGGCTTCCTCTCTTACCTACCCCTCTTCCTTCCCTGAGGTGTCCTTCCTCTCCCTCTCTATTTCCACTGCCACTGCCTGAGTGCAGGCCCTCGTCAGCTATGATGACGCCCAACTACTGCAAGATCCGGTCCTCTCTTATCACTCAGTAGTCTTTTTGCTTTCGGACTGTAACAGAGCAATCTAATTAAAAGTTCTTTCAACAACTTTTCATTACCTACATTAGTAGTTTCTTTCAAATGTTAGCAATGCCACTAAATTGTACATTTAAAAATAGCAATTTTAATGCTATGCAGGCATACCTGCGAGATACTGCATGTCTAGTTCTGCAATAAAGCCAGCATCACAATAAAGCCAGTCACACAAATTTTGTTGGTTTCCCAGTACATATAAATGTTGTTTACACTATACTATATAGTCTATTAAGTATACAATAGCATTATGTCTAAAAACTGTACACAACTAAATTTAAAAATACTTTATTGCTAAAAAATGCTAACCATCATCTGAGCCTTCAGCAAGTCATAATCTTTTTTTCTGGCAGCGGGTCTCACCTTTACTTTGCCAAAAAGAAAAAAAAAAGTGCAATGTCAGCGAAGTGCAATAAAATGTGGTATCCTTACATATTTACCACAATTAACAAGAAACTGAAATTTTAGTGTGGTCCAGAATTACTCCAAAGGCATAAAACACTGACTGTGGGGCCCTGAGTTTCTGATTCAGTAGGTTTGTGGTAGGTCCAAGATTGTATTTCAAACAAGTTGCCAAGTGAATGCTGACGCTCTTGGTCCAAGGGCCACCACTTCCTTCACACACTGAGAAACTTCCCTACAAGAGCAAACCTTAGCACAGCATAACAGCATGCAGTGCCTAACCCGATCTTCTCCCTCTCTTTCTCTTAAAACTTCAAGCTCCTGCAACAGGCATGTAGTTGTGCTCATCCTCAAAGTGATCTATTGTACCGACATTTGTCACCAGAAGCGAAGCCAGGTTAAGACTGTGTGCTAAGTATTTATGCACTAAGAAGGACTAGCACTGTGCCTGGCACATAATAGGCATTCAGTAAATGTAAAATGAACAGAATATCCCTTTCCATAACTGGCACCCAGAAAAAACATCTATGTATTATTAAAAACTAAGCCTGAGGTTTACTTTTTTATAAAACCTTTTCTGATCCTCAAAAGGTAAAAATAACCACTCTTTTCTTTGTGCTTCCCACTATGCCTTATGATTGTATCAAAGTGTTTGTAATACTTTACATTTATTTATTTACATGTCTATTTCCCTAGATCAGACTGCAAGTACTCTCAGCATTTCTAATGCTCAACCTAGAATCCAGCACGTGGTAGGCACTGAATAAATGTTTGCTGAATGATTATGTAAATGCATGATCAGAATTGCGTGCACTCTTTTCCAACTAATTCAATATTTTAAGTCATAGAAATTTAAAGTTCGAAGTGACTTTAAAAATCATACAGTCAAGCCCTGACTGGTTTGGTTCAGTGGATAGAGCATCGGCTGTGGACTGAAGGGTCCCGTGTTCGATTCCAGCCAAGGGCATGTACCTTGGTTGCGGGCAAGGCAGGGGTATGCAGGAGGCAGCTGATCAATGTTTCTCTCGCATTGATGTTTCTAGCTCTCTATCTCTCTCCCTTCCTCTCTGTAAAAAATCAATAAAATATATATTTTTTAAAAATCATACAGTCAAAATTGTTTGTAAATAAATCAAGGCCTTCAGAGATTAAGAAATCTGCCCAGCCCTGGCTGGTGTGCTCAGTGGTTAGTGTTGGCCCAGGCACCCAATGGTTGAGGGTTTGATTCTCAGTGAAGGGCACATATGTGGGTTGCAGGTTCAACCTCGGTCCTGGTAAGGGTGCGGGCAGGAGGCAACCAATCGATGTATTTCTCTCACATCAATGTTTCTCTTTCTCTCTCTCTCCCTCTCCACCCTTCCTCTCTCCCTCTCTCCTTCTCTCTTTCCCCTTCACTCTCTCGAAAAATCAATGGAAAAATATCCTCAGGTGAGGATTAACCAAAAGAAGAAATCTGTCCAAAATATAGATATTTAATGGCAGTGATGGAATTATAATGCCAGAATGTAACCTCAATCATTGATAAGATTTTCTTTAAATGGAAATCAGTATTTCAGCTTCACAGTTAACCTACCGTATTTGCTGACGTATAAGACGATTTTTTGGCCCTGAAAAATATGCCTCCAAGTGGGGGGTCGTCTTATACGCCAGGTACACTTCAGATAGACTGCCCATAGTGCTTGCCCCGTGCCATAGTGGCCTCCCGATGCCCGCCCACTTCATTCTACATACCGTTCAGGCATCAGCAGCGCTGCTGGGTGTATGCTCGGCTGTTATGCGATTTTGCTGTTATGCGATTTT